ACCACCATCATCATCATCACGACCCCCAACAATCGGCGGGGAACGGTGTTCAGGGCGCCTCGATGATGACCCACCCCGCGAGGACGGCCGAGCACGAGAACAACCACCACCACCACCACCAGTTGCACCACCACCACCACCAGTCATCTTCTAGTCATCACCATCACCATCACAACGAGGCCAACGAGTACCAACAGCTTCCGGCCTCCAATTATATTCACCAGATACCAACGGCGTCCGAGGATTCGTTGCACTATCACTCGCAGATACGTCAGAACGATTATAACGTGGGGGGGCATTACAAGGAGGAGAGTCAATCGGATCCCTCGTGTTATCACGCGCTCCAGCAAGCGTCAGCGGGCCAGCATCCGCAGCATCTTCAGCACGGCCATCATCATCATCAGCAGCAGCAACAGCAGCAGCATCCGCACCATCCTCAATCGCAGCAGCAGCAGCAGCAACAGCAACCGCACGTACCTACGTACAAGTGGATGCAAGTGAAGAGAAACGTGCCCAAGCCAGTCGGTACGTACACGTTTTTTGACTCGATTCGAAGACAGGATTCGTTCGTTTCTCTATGGTTTCTACTCGAGTTCTTCTCGGATGAGTGTTTCCATCGAAATGTGTCTCTCTCTCTCTTTCCCTCGATTTTTATCTGCTGAGAAATTAATGATCCAGGCTTGGATGGTGCAACCTCTTTTACGACTACTGGTAACTCGTAACTCGATGCTCTCCACGGCTTTATTTATATATATGTATATGTATATATCAGGCTGGTGAATAATTCCTCGAAATAAAATTTACTTCGATTCGAATTATTTCGATTTTAATAAAAGTGAATAAGAATAATTGTAACGAATCTATTTTCTATTATTCCGAAAAATACGTCGATAAATCGAATAGGGATGGAAATCGTAGAGGGAGAAGGATGCAGGGATAATTTTTCTTCGAAATAAAAATTACTTCGATTCGAATTATTTCGATTTTAATAAAAGTGAATAAGAATAATTTTAACGAGTTTATTTACGAATTTATTTTCTATTATTCCGAAAAATACGTTGATAAATGGAATGGAAATCGTAGAGAGAAAAGGATGCAGGAATAAATCTTCTTCGAAATAAAAATTACTTTCGATTTTAATAAAAGTGAATAAGAATAATTGTTATAGCACGTTGATAAATCGAATAGGAATAAAAATGGCGGAGGGACAGGGATAAATTCTTCTTTGAAATAAAAATTACTTCGATTCGAATTATTTCGAATCTCGATCCCAATAAAAGTGAATAAGAATAATTGTAACGAGTTATAGCACGTCGATAAATCGAATAGGAATAAAAATGGCGGAAGGACAGGGATAAATTCTTCCTCGAAATAAAAATTACTTTCAATTTTAATAAAAATGAATAAGAATAATTGTAACGAGTTATAGTACGATAAATATAGTCGATAAATCGAATAGGAATAAAAATGGCGGAAGGACAGGGATAAATTCTTCCTCGAAATAAAAATTACTTTCAATTTTAATAAAAATGAATAAGAATAATTGTAACGAGTTATAGCACGTCGATAAATCGAATAGGAATAAAAATGGCGGAGGGATAAATTCTTCCTCGAAATAAAGATTACTTCGATTCGAATTATTTCGAATCTCGATCCCAATAAAAGCGAATAAGAATAATTGTAACGAGTTATAGTACGATAAATATAGTCGATCAATCGAATAGGAATAAAAATGGCGGAGGGATAAATTCTTCCTCGAAATAAAGATTACTTCGATTCGAATTATTTCGAATCTCGATCCCAATAAAAGCGAATAAGAATAATTGTAACGAGTTATAGCACGTCGATAAATCGAATAGGAATAAAAATGGCGGAGGGATAAATTCTTCCTCGAAATAAAGATTATTTTGATTCGAATTATTTCGAATCTCGATCCCAATAAAAGTGAATAAGAATAATTGTAACGAGTTATAGCACGTCGATAAATCGAATAGGAATAAAAATGGCGGAGGGACAGGGATAAATTCTTCCTCGAAATAAAAATTACTTCGATTCGAATTATTTCAATTTCAATAAAAGTGAATAAAAATAATTGTAACGAGTTTACTTACGAATCTATTTTCTATTATTCCGAAAAATACGTCGATAAATGGAATAGGAATGGAAATCGCGGAGGAGCAGGGATGCTACTCTTCGAGAGCACGTGCAAGATTAATGACGTGTGTGTCATTAATGAACCGGAATTACGTGTCACGTTTTATTAATCTCGTTACGCGTTGGTTTCAAAGGCAGTAGGTCGTCGGCCAATGAGTAACGCCAACATTTTTACTTGTCCGTCAATCTTCATTTCGTCGCTCACCACCCAGGCGAAAATCTCGCTTGCCAAAGTGTGGCGGACTCCAGAGGAATCGGCGACGGCGGCGGCGGCGGCCATTCCAGATCCACCGACTTGCGTAAAGTGTCGTCAACGAGTGGCAATTGAGCCATGTCGCGACACTCGAAACAAGTTTAAACAAATTGTCTCGTTCTGAGAACTAGGAGATGTTTATCCAGAAAGGAATTATTTGTTACTTATATTCGTAATAAACGAATAATTATCGCGATTATTTTAAAAAGAAATTCAGAAATAGTTGCTTACAATGACGTTTACTCTTTCTTTCTCTTTCGTTTTTTTTTTTCGTGCTCGTCGGAAAATGACGCACGTGTTGCGTCGCCGATATTATTCTTGGAGCAGGTTTAAAGTTAAAATTTACAATTTTTGGCGAAAATTACAAAGATTGACGATTCTGTAAATTGATCGCAATATTATTCCTTCGAGTTCGCGTTTTACGATTGTTTTTTGCTTTTTTGGAGTTGGAAGAATTGAAACGATCGCGATGTTACTTCTTTTCTTCGAGTTGTTTAAAATTTCCAATTTTTGGTGAAAATTACAAAGATTGACGATTCTGTAAATTGATCACAATATTATTCCTTTAAACGCGTTTAAAATTAAAATTTTTAATGTTTTGGGAAAAATACAAAGATTGACGATTCTATTATTCTTTGCTTTTTTTTGGAGTTGGAAGAATTAAAAGGATCACAATGTTACTCCTTTTCTTGGAGCTGTTTAAAATTTCCAATGTTTGAAAAATACAAAAATTTTATTGTTCTTTATTTTTTTGGAATTGGAAGAATTGAAACGATTACAATGTTACTCCTTTTCTTCGAGCTATTTAAAATTTCCAATGTTTGGCGAAAAATACAAAGATTGATAATTCTGTTGTTTTCTTGGAGTTGGAAGAATTGAAACGATTGCAATATTATTTCTTTTCTTGGAGCTGTTTAAAATTTCCAATGTTTGAAAAATACAAAGATTGACAATTCTGTTGTTTTCTGCTTTCTTGGAGTTGGAAGAATTGAAACGATCGCAATATTATTTCTTTTCTTGGAGCTGTTTAAAATTTCCAATATTTAAAAAATACAAAAATTTTATTGTTCTTTGTTTTTTTGGAGTTGGAAGAATTGAAACAATCGCGATATTATTCCTTTTCTTGGAGCGCCTTTAAAGTTAAAATTTCTAATGTTTAGCAAAAAATACAAAGATTGGCGATTCTTTGCTTTGGATTGAAACAATCGTTGCAGTTTTTCTATTTAAAAAATCCTTAAAATTGAGATTAGGTCTACGCTTATTTCAACTTTCGATATTAATTGTTATCAAGAAACGATAAGGGAAAATAATCGCCAGGCTTTAAAACACCAATCGTTCTGGACGATGATTGGCAATTTCATCTCTCTCTCTCTCTCTCTCGCGATTATAATTTCAGAAAAAAGAGAAACGATGTGTTCGAGAACGTTCAAACATTGGAGAAAAATAGGCGCGATAAAAATAGGATTCTTCTTCAGCTACGAATCAAAATTCGATAAGAGGGATTTATTTATCGGATATTTATATCCCGGGTTGAGGTTGTTTAGCCGCTGTTTACGTTTATGCGACAATCGTAAACGCGGCCGATAAGATTGTGCACACAGGCAGATAGATACGAGCCATTTTACAAGAATATCGTAGACCGGTAACCATAAATCAACACAGTTGCGAACCTCTCTCCTCGCCTATCTCTCCAACAAATCACTCTCGATTATTCCACTTACGTATATCTTTGATATTTTCATTCGTGGCGCCTACTAGTCACTCTTTCAAGATCTTTGTATATATATATATATATATTTTTTACGTGAATATAAAATAATAATTTCTGTTTCGCAAATTATAAATTTCGTGATCACGATGTAAATTATTTTTTTTTTTTTTTTTAGTAGAAGAAATCAACGTTCGATGAATCGAGGAGAGAAAATATATTTTTATAATATCTTCAAAAATTTTTCGAAATTTTATTTAGGATAGGAAAGAGAGAGAAAAAAATATTCTTCTCTTTGAAAACACGCTGATATCGCGCGCATTGAATTCGACGATGGCCGCGCGAGATATCGAAAAGCCCTCCCCCCCCTTCCCCACCCTAAGATAAGATCCGCGCTTAAGAACGAAAATTCTTGCACTGTGCAGTTATCTGATTATTTCGAGGGAGACTACAACGCCGATAACGGATATCTCGTCTCCCTGAGGCTTTAATTAAAAGCCGATATATTCTCATGACGCGTACCAGTAAATAATCTATCTGATCGTTGTGAAAATTAAAAATGTGAAAAGAAAAAAAAAAAAGTAGAATAAAAACCAAGTCCGATTGAAAATTAATCGAAACGAGTCGGAGCGAGAGGAGGAGGAAGAGAAGGAGGACGAAAGATTAAAAAAGAATAAGGCAAACAAATAAGAGATCAGATTAGAAATACTGACTGGATAAATACACGATAATGTAGTACCCGTTACGCAAAAATTGAATGTGACGGAGGAACAATTTATCGTTTCGAAAGTGGCGTGATCGTTGAACGCCCGACCATTTGCATAAATGTGTCTAATTACTATTAAACGTGGGAGGGAAAAGCGTATAAAAGTCGAGTTGTCAAATGTGGTAATAACTCGTTCATACGGATCGATCGAATTTCAGGCTGAATTTGAAGTAAAAAATTTTTCTCGCTCGACCGGTAAAGGAATTCTCCGTCTTACCCTGATATTCATATATCGCGTTTCGAATTTGTCGAACAGGAATACGATTCGCCCGGGATACCTTTGGAAATTGATTCAGTTGATAAGGTAGAATCGAGACGATCGAATGGGTAATAGAATTTTCCGATTCTTCTGAAATTTCAAAAAATTCTTCCACGCGAAAATAAATATCGTGCAACAGGGAAAAGAGTGTTGAGAGAATGATAAAGCAGAAAGGAGAGAGAATTTGAGGTTAAGTAAGTTTGCAAAATTGTTGGAAAAAATTGAAATCAACATGATCGTAATGTGAAATGCGATAAGAGGATGCCGGTTCAAGCAAGGGCTCCCCCACTCGGGGAGCTAATTTGCTTAACAGCGAGGCAGGGGTTGGAGGGAATCGGCGGCTAAGCCTGGTATCGTTCAAATGGAGCTTGTCAGGATTACCAGC